TCTCGTGTACATATTTTTATATTTTAAATAAAATCTGCACAAATATATTTATATTTTTTGTTAAATTAATAATAAATTAAATAAATAAATATTATATTATAAAATTATTAATTTTTTCATACCTATACAACATCAATAAAATTTTACAATAATAAACATTACGGTTAAATATTATAAAACATTTATAGCATAATTCTTTTAGTTTCTTACTTAAAATATCATCTTATTTAAAAGATTATACAAATCACTCTCGGACATTTTATCATCTAGCTTTTAATAAATAATTTAGCTCTATAAAGTAAAGATTGTACATAAATTCAAAACTAATATATTCACACATACTTGAGAATGATTTAAGTCGCGTTCACTGAGAGGATGTTGGAAGTAAAATTTGTAAAACAATAAAAATAGCCTGCCTATGTCAGTGCAAGTTGCTTCCTAAGATTCATCCGAATCAGTCACTGCTAATATCACCTTCAACATTTTCTTTCTTTTTAATTTCCTACGATGATTCCACCATCTTTGTGTCTTCGTTTTTCCTCTTCGTTCCTCGTGGAAAAATCATTTTAAATCAATGCAGAAAAGCCTTAACTTTTCGTTTCGAAATCGACAAATCAATTTGCCATTATTATAGCAAAAAATCGAGCAGCGCCAGCAAGTGTTATTTATAAAAACGTAACTTCAAAAAATTCACAACAAATGAATAGGAAGAAAAATTCTTTTAAAATGTTTGCAATCGATGCTTGATTCCTGCCACATGTTTAAATTTTGTCTCGAGATTTCGCGTCAAGGAAACAAGAGGATTAGCGCTAGATCGTTGATCGGTACCTCGCGGCTCTCTTTGCGAGAGCGAGCAGTTCGACGGACCTTCCTAAGTGCGATCGATTTCATTTCAATTCGCCTTAGAATTAAAGAGAAATTTCATTTCCACGGTACCATAGTCTCATCATATTTTCCTCAAAGAGTTTTTCCACCTAGATATACGACCCATTAATCCCGATCTTAAAGTTCTTAGAAAATGTACTTTATCAAGGATAAGATCGCTGATCGTCTTTCGTGCATTTCGATCCTTTTCGCACAGAAGATTTTGCAAAAGGATTTTTATTTAACTGCTATCTTTTATTACACCGTTTTTCCCGTAAGCTATTACGAGAATTTTCTAAACGTGCCCTTCTTCATCAGTCGTAATGGAAAGATCGTTTTCGCACGCGCAACTATGTCGTATTCACTATTGATCAGAGGCACCCTCATGAATATTGTTCATTGCAACTCTCTCAGCGAATACTCGATATTTTTCATGTTGTATTGAGATAGATCTTTGGAGTCTCAGTACATTGGATCAGACCCGTTTAATACTTAGCAGACAAGGATCTTCTATGAGAATGCTCTGATCAGCGAGTACATTTTCTTTGTACACCTGTGCGAGACTCATAAGAGACTGTGTGTTCGTTTACTCTCCTCTGCTTCATTCAATTCTCGATCCTTTCCAGCGACGAAAGATGACGTGCACATACTTTGGCCAAGTCCTTGGCCATACTCCTTATACACAAATCTCAAACACAAGGCAATGTTCTGCCCAGTATGTGGATACCCCCCTTTACACGTACCACTCTTTAATGTCTATTAGTTCTCGTTTCTTGTTGCTTTTGCTGCCATTGGCGCCGTTTTTCAGGGCGCCATTGAAGGGCTGGCCGGAACCAGCGGCGCCTAACAGAGCCGCGTTTGGATCCTGGCAGAATGTCTTTGTTTCATCCACCTTATAACTCGTTTCCGGCCGATTCTTAAACTTGAGGATTATCAATATGATCAAGACTATCGCTATCAACGCGGCGGCTATAATGCCGATTATAAGCGCGGCATTCTCTGCCGCCTCGGATGTAATCCGCTTATTGTTGTTGTTCTTGGGCGGAGTGGGCATCGGTGGATACACCGGCGGTGGAGGTGGCGGTGGTGGCTCCGTCATTTCCGTCGTGGTCGTATGCGTTGTCACGGTTGTCGATCGATGCGTTACGACGCTGCTGCAAAATGTAAGCAACAATTGTTAAATCTTAATTATTGCTCGACATTAATTATTGACAAACTGTAATACTGTACTTTTCGCGAATTTTGAGACTTTTTGCCGTGAATGAAGAATGATTATAGCACGTGGTATGTATATTTGCTAGTAACATTTCTCTCGTTTAAAACGCGCAACAGAGGTTTGAATTTTTGCAAGTAAATTATTCAATTAAATTTAATTACTCGATTAAATTAAATCGTTGCAAAAATACTGATTGAAAATTGTGAAAATGTAACAGTTCCGAATTTTTAGACTGAGATGCATATTGATTTTTATACTATATCTATATATATATATATATATATATATATATATATATGTGTATATATAAAAGAGAGAAATTGATTCTATTAATTGAGCCGTACTTTGTTAATGACGCCAGCAATATTGAAAGATTTTTCTAATATTCGATGCAAAAGGGAAGTTTCTAAATTATTCTATGAATTCAGTAAATATCTGTCATTAATTGATCAGGAAATAATTTATACCGTACATTTTATATGTTTTAACATGATTATAATAGAAATAAACATTATGACGATTCAGAGAATGCGAAAAATGTATAGTAATATCATAACGACTATCGATATGCATAAACAATTACGAATGATTATTCGATTATCCGGCATCACTGCTGACAGACGCACGCACCTGCTATGGCTGGGCTCGAGGGCTGTGGGTGACACGGTGTATTGGGCGGGGGCGGGGGGGAGGTGGCGGCCCCACAGT